AWYMAMYWAWWRRAAAAAAATCATCARCATATTAGTCGACTATGAAAATAGTCATTAYTTGCAGCCCTAGCAGTGGYGGGCACAGTTCTGCTAATCTGCTAATAGCAGATTTAGCTTCTCGTTTAGTGGACTAGCTTTTTTTTTTTTCCTGAAACTGTTGGTGGACATATTGGTTTCCAGTGAATACGGTTCTGCTAATTTTAGTGTTAAACTTATAATTTTTCTGCCATTTATCCTAAATAAAATAAAAACTATCCTCTCTTACAGGCAGTGAAGTGTCTTTAGCAACTAAACTTCAAACTAAAAACATCAAAAACAAATAAAATAATATTTACAATATTTAAATAAGAAAAAAATTGCTACATAGAAAACATAGTAGAGAAAGTATTTCTTTTTTTCTGACTAACTTCAAATTGTTTTTACAAAAAAAACTTGATCTAGAAAAGCTTTTATTCTGAAAGGGGTAAACTGGAAGTATCATAAATTAGATAGATAACTGGTTTGGACTGGCCACAGATAATCCCACCCACCTTGAAATTAAACTAAGAGAACCATCAACAGGTTTGTGTCAGACCCACCAGTCTTCAACTGGAAGGAGATGAAGACTYGTGACACAGGCTGAGCGACAGTTGTCCTAGTTTATGCTCTGAACTTTTAAATCAGGACAGGGGTTTGAGTTTTATTTTCTGAAYGACCTCTTTGCTTTTCTTTGCCCGTCCCCCGATGTTTCCGGAGGCGCCGTCCTCCCTCAGGCTGTCCACCGACTCGCCGTACACGAGCTTGATGGCGCGGACCAGGCGGGCRCAGGAGCGGCCGTGGTGCTGATAGCAGCGCGGGTGGCAGAAGTCTATGTGTGTGCAGATGAAACTCTGCTGGTTGCACAGCAGGATCATAATCTGTGCAGAAACAGAGAGAGCAGAGAGGATGGGGGGTTGATATGAAAGGAGGAGACGGGAACACCATCAGCACCGACCGAGACACATACGTGGAGCCAGGACATGTTGCGATGATAATTGTCTTCAGTTCCTCCTGAACCTTGACCCTCGGGCTCAATACTGGGTTCACTGGTGCTGAACGGACTTCCTGAAACATTTAACATAAAACACCCATAAAACTAGATAAAATGTTCACGTAGACTCTGAATTACAAATTAGTCGGCTAAAGCGCAAATCCGCTAATTGCTGACCTAAATACTTCATTTGCACTTCAGCAGTCATACTAATTTTTACAATTCATAAGCGGATTTGCGCTTTCTAAAATTAAAACGCAGTATCACTAATAACTAATTATCTACCAGTCATCATTATTTTAAACAGCAGAAGTCATGGCTGTCAATGACTCACAACACACATGATCTATCCAACAGCACCCCACCCAGATAAACACACTTATTGAGAAGGTATACATCCTTGCTGACTGTTGCTTTCGGTCATGGTTCTCATTTCCCACAATGCTTTGTGTCTGCTTACGTAGCAGGAAGGCAGTGTTTAGAAATCCCTGTTCCAGCAAAAAACAGTTAAAGTTTGTAATCCATACTAAAATTTTGTATGTATTGATTTATTTTACTTTACAATCGGAGCTCCTTTACCAAAAAAAAAGTTTAAACGCTGRAGCTCATTACTTGTGGTAATTGGTCGAAGCAACGGGGTTGGAGACTCAGAAATGATTTAAAGATGTTATTCTGGTGAAGACTGACATCTAGTGGTCAACTGGAGCAACTGCATGGAAAACTTTAAAATCCGACCATGCTCTTATTTTGAAGTGAAGATAGTTTCCTGTTCTCCGTGCTTTTGCTTCCTGTCACAAATCAAATCTGTCATGGACCCAAAATACATCGCTTCAGTTTTCCAATAAACAGTTTTAAAATTACTTTATTGATGCTACTTTAATGAAAAATCTACAACAAACAAAAGAAAAAGACAAAGAAGCAGCCGAACTAGCAATCCTCAATAACTTTTTAATTTTTACACCAGGAGCTAAAGGTCTGTTTCATGAAATCACATCCCCAGCAATTGGTGGTTGTAGAATTAAGTTGTAAAAGAGTTCAACACTGCTAGTTGGCAGTGTTGTGCACATATTATACATGAATTATTGCTAGTTAGTAAGTGTCAAAGTGAACTTGCGCTTTAAAATTAGCTTCCGCTGGTTTTTCTATGGCATAAGCGTTTTTCAACTTGCGGACCTAAATATTTTCATAAGCGCTTTAGAAATTGCGGAACAAATTTTTGGATTAGCGCTGCCCACCACTGCAGTTACTCTTAACTGATGTTATGTTAAATCATTTTATGTAACTTTTACTTGCCTGTTCCCAGCATCTTTGGCATTTGTTTTGCTTTAACCCTCCTTCTGTCGTAGGATCAAAATGACCCACGAGGCCTCAGTTTCAAAACTAATACTCTGTGTGTCAATTTAACCCAAGGACAGCAGGAGGGTTAAATACAAATTAGAAAGCTCCCCTCTTCAGGTCCTTTGATCAAAATTCAAACAAACCCACACACAAATTTGTATTTCTATGTATTTCTACTGGATCCTTATTAGATGTATTGACTTCCATTCATTTCTGCAGCCTAACCGTGACTGACCCTAAACCCCTAACTCACCAATTGCATTTCACCATTTTTGGACAGGTCTTTGGTCCCAAAAAGGACTACTGGTCCTGACAAGAAAAGTGTTTATAACAGAAACTATTAAAAAAGGTAACAAAACTCACGCACACACACCTATACAAATCTTAAATTTAGATGTTTAGTTGGCTTTTTTTATTAGTTTTTAATCAAAATGACTTGGAAAAATTCATTTAGTGTTAGCATTTTGAAAAAAATATTATTTTGTTTTTTATGACTTTTTTAAAGCATATTATATCTTACAGCACTATTTTTTGTAAAAGGAAAGTAATTCAAAGGAATTACCATCCTCTGAAATATATTTTACAGCGTACTGCATAATCAGCCTTTTTCATAAAGAGGGTTGATACACTTCATAGTTAATTTCCATCAGTTCTTTAGCATTTTCAAACTGAACCTTCAAGATTTCACAGGTCTTATGGTTAATTATGAAATCAGATTTTAGTTATATAATAAAAAGTGAGAAATGAAAGCCAAACATCAAGTTTCAAAATGTGACAAATAATATTGTATGTC